TGGAACAAAGCGTGGTTATATTATGAAGGTTACACATTCAAGTGAATGAACGAAAAAAGGGAGAAATGAGAGTTTCGAAAATGGGAAGTTATTCTCGGAGAAGAGTCAGAGGAAACAAAAAACTTATAAGCCGGTACACAAAGTGCAAAATTTCAAAAGCAGTCCCATAAACAATCACGTTCTACGATACAAATATGCAATAAACAGGAGATCCAGCCCCGTATAAAAGACTCCACCAACCTCTTCCGTGACTGTCGAATCAAGGTTACCATGGGTGCCAGGCCGCTTCTCCATTTGTGAAAAGGCTATAGAGATACGAACATGGTGTATACATGAGCAGAACGTAAGCTCATTCCCGAACGTTACTTCGCAAAGCATTCAGCAACACGTATCCTCCTGCCGACAAGGAATAACATCATGTCGGGACACAGGAAGTGTTCGTCTATGACAAGAGCTCATCGAGCGACAAAACAGCTGAAATTACGGTCGTACTGTTTTGAGGCAGTGCATCAGCTGGAGCTGTAAGTGTTCAATATTGTCATTGTTTTTGTCGTTTTGTGCGTGAAAGGTTTCATAGGTAATAGTTAGGGTTACGTTTTAAGTAAAACAACTTCTGAAGTTGTTAAGACCCGAAGAAACAACTGCGGATCAATCCACATTAGCAGTCTCAAGTAAGAGTTACAGAAGTTATATTCCTGAAAGAACTTGAAAGTTCTAGGTTTTATTGTTTTGTTGACTCGGAAGAAAGTAAACTATGGATTGAGCCCGTCAGTACATTGGTCTGTTCCTTAAAGAGTTTTGTTCTAAAATGCAATAACCAATCCTTCCCTCTTGCTTCTTATTCGATTTTGTTTCCTTGGAGCTCAGATGGTGGAAATGATACAAATAAAATAAATGTCGTGTTGCCTCTTCCTGAAGTCATACCCTGTAATATGTATAGCTCAGTTCTTTGCCACCAAGACCAGACCAATCAATGGGTTCAATCAGCTTTCTGTCTAATGGACAGCGGCGGTAAAGCAGTCGGAGCGTGAAGCTGACCAGTAATCTGCATTATGACAGAGTTAAGTATGCCTGGAGCTTACCTTCGCTACTTCACATAACTTCGTGGTGTATGTGTGTTCGTGTGTGTATGTGATATGATACTTATTTCTATACCAACTTACTAGCTTTAAATAGGTTCTGTATTATTTTTGAGTATTTATGTAGTATTAGCTCAAGACTCGACGTCCGTATTGGTATTCTATGTTTTTATTTTAATTACCCATACATTAGTTTTAAAAAAATGTTTCCTTCATAGCAAAGAGCGAGATGTATCAGAAAATTATTTTATGAAGCTAGTAGAAACAAAAGCGAAAATATACACATTTTAAGCACGCATCAAGTAACACAACTATTGCATAAGTTTCCAGAAGAAGATCCTGAAAGTAATTTTATTAATGTTGTATAAATAGCTGTTCTCTATCATTTTTTCTTCTTGGTGTGTGCTGTATTTATCGATACAATTTTAATTGGAATTGAATACATTAAAAGTAGGCCTATATTGTGCGTGAATTATAATATTTATCTGTTGAAATAAAATCGTGCACTGCTTTTGCAGAATTTGCGTCTCCTTGCATTCTGCAGCAACCAAGGAGTAAAATATTTACCGATATGGGTCTACAGTGTAATTAAAAAGCATACAAATAATGTTTTCCGGTCGTCTGGTTATATCAAAGAGATGCCCGGAAGGTCTACACATAATCCCGTAGCAAATGAAACTGCAATGTGTAGTGACTCACCCACCAGTCATCACTGTGCAGTGGCTTGCCACGTAACATTTCAGCCCAGTGGCTTACGGAAACTAACGAAATTAAGCCGAAATTTAACGAACGAGTGGGAGTAGAGACAGAAGACAGTCGTGTCAATACGTACAAGAGCGAAGGGATGAAGTTTGTTATAAGTTTACGTTTCTTGGTAATTATGGTGTGATGTTGTTAAAACTTCAGTAGCATGTGTACTGTTAGTTAGTGTGGACAGTGAACGTTGAACATTTATTAAAATATGGACTAAAAGTAATGTTCAATCAACCTGATCAGTTGAAACACGTTGGAAAAGTTGCTGTGTGCAAATCAGCCATGAAGCCCGGTAAAATGACGTCATAGGCAACAAGTTTCAACAAGATGTCTGACTGCAGTGGAACTCACCAGTAAGTAGCATAAAGGGGGAAGGGTTTTTCGGGTGTCTGTAGGGTACGGTGACTAATTATGTTAGCTAACTGTAATAGATTGTATCGGACTAGAAAGAATGCATAAAACCCGATTTCAGTGATAGGTTTATAAAAGGCGAAGGTAGTGTTACGTACTATTTTATATTATAACCATATTGTAAAATAACTTGGATTATTTGAGGAACGTGTACTGTTTAGATCGAAGTTTGGGAGTTTTACACGTGATCCGGTTGCATATCTTATAGTTTTCATCCCAAACTATGCTGGGTGTAAAGCTAGACCCAAGCATAAATCTACCCTAATGGAAGTCTCGTCTTAATTGAATCGGTCATTAGCAAAACCACACGATCTACATTTTGTTTTAGAGAATTGAGCTATTGTTACCATGCCAGTCGCCAAGGAGAAATGCACTGCATTACAGTCATGAAATATTATGTGGATACTTGAAAAAAAAAAACACGAGTTAACAAGTAGTTAAAACAAAGTTTAAACAAACTATGTTACCTAATTTCCTAGAATAGTGTTAGTTTATTTTCAATGCATATGTGTATTATGTAGCTTGTAATTGAATTGAAATTTATATTTCTGTACCATGTTCCAGTAGTTTTGAAGAGTGTACGTTATGTCTGTTTTGTAGTTTTTGAGATAGTGTTGAATGGAATCGACTAACGTTTCACTTTTCGTAGTAAATTTGGTAGCTCTTCATGTTGGTGTAGGCCTGTTTTTTGTTATACTAGTGGATTTCAAGTATAGACGACACATTTTATAATTTGCAAAGTAGTTCCGGATTTTCTGAACCCTTTGCCAGGGAACGTGTTGTTAACACCATATTTCTAGTGCAAGAAGGATGACTGTTCCCACGCCCATGATGCTTTGGACAGCAAGAAAGTGACTCTAAAAGGGATGGGGCTAACTTCACAATAGTCCTAGGCCTACCTTTGCAGTATCAATAGACGCTGAGGACGTGTGTTACGTTGTAAGGAGACGGCCACTGAAATGTATAAAGCTGTCATATTATTTCGACGTCGTGAATCCAGTACTATTCAGAAATGTTACGAATTTACACACAATTTGAGTCGCCATCTCGAAGAGTGATTCATGAGGTTTGAAATCTGGACGATCGTCATCGTAAGACGGACATTCGACTAAAATATGGCGCAAAATGTTAGCAATAGGATGCAAATTCGACGCTACATATACCATATCTTACATGTTATTTAATTTTGATATGGAAATTTGTATTTTATCTGAGGTAAGGGCATAATTAAAGGTGTTTGGGAACAGGATGTGCTACATGTAATACTCACGGGGAGATTACAAATTAATACGACATTTTGGTAAGGAAACCTGTAAGAAAGGGACTGCTTTGAAGAACTTAAAGTAGATGTGATAATAATATTAAAATGAATCTCGCAGACATCAATGGTTTCCAGGTACTATGAATGTATAAAAGATAAATGTGCAATAGTGATTTGTTCTTTTAGCTAGTAGGTAGTAGATGTCAGCACTTGTAATGTGGTGGTATCTGGTTCGGATCTCTGCCGGGTTACTCAGTATCTCGAATATTACTTTTCGTGATTTTATCAGTATCTTCATTGGAGTTCTGATATATTACGGTTGTTTGTACCATATCCTCAAATAATCTCCACTCATGATCAGAGAATGTCAGCGGAAGAAATAAACATTCGCGGTTGAATTAGCGTCTTTAAAATAAGAACCCTAATACGTGATTCAAATGAAGGGTCTTACTTGTTACCTGTCATCCATTTGTACAATTTTCGATCGTTGTGGTGTTTGGCGTCAGTACATTATACACGAGGCCTGCATAAACAGGCTGCCCCAAGAAGATGTATTCACATATTAAATTAATGAAATAAAAACACGTTAACAAACAAAATATTAAATACGTAAAAATTGGAACTTAGTGAGCTAGCAAATGTAATATAGGTGTACAAAATGACCGCCGTTAGCTTCGTGGCGCAGCTGACAAGCGGCCAGCAATGTTACTGTTGTGTACACATATTTTTGGGACAACCTGTGTTTATTTCTAAATATGATACTGTTGAAATGGTATGACACAAATGGGAAATCTTGCACATGAATTGGCATCGTTCATACAGTGACTATATCAGTCGATATAACCCAAAGTCTTATGGCGCGCCTTTCCCAAATTATTTCTTAAATTTTTTGACGTAAATACGTCTGTATTGAAGGGTAATTCGGCAAAAAAGGGGAACGAAAAAGGGAAACGAAAAAGTGTAACCTGGTTACCTACGAAACGTCGTGTTTACTCGGAATTGTTGTTACCCAGGAAACGTCATCTGTTTACTCAGCATTGTTGTTACCTTTAAAACATTTCATTACATTACCTTACCTTACCTTACCTTTCATTACATTTCATTACATTACATTACTTTACATTACATTCAGCTACCACAGACCCATCTTAAGCGCAACTAATTCAAGTTAAATAAGCAAAGCCTTAATCAAACTTTACTCAATTGTAAAGCGGGTATAAAGGAAATATTTAGAATAAAGCCAATATATAAACTTCCTTTCCGTATAGACGTATTTACGTCAAATTCTCCGGAACCGTGGTTCCACTGTCAATTTTTAGTTCTGTCGTGAACTGGACAGTACACTGACAGAATACGTAGTTTCGAAATATATTTAGAATACAATGTAAGGACGTGATCATGTAAAAATATAAAGTGTGAGAGAAAAATGATTAGCTGATTAAAGGACCAACATGTATGAAAATTTCAATAGCTGATTTATGAATGCGTAATATAATATCGTCACATGATATGAGCGGAATTCTAGACACATTACTGTTCACACAAACATGGCAGGTCTTATGCAAACAGCACGTGCTTTAGCATAACATTTTATAAGTTTACATTTCAAATCCTGTCGCAGATCAAACCAAGACTAAGTCCGCCTTTGCAGTTCACTTTGACACGCAGCTGGCTGGAAGCAAATGGATTGTGGGCTTAGAAATGACAATTGACAAATGTTTCTGCTCGCCCGTTGCGACCCCCTGACCACGAAGATACATGAGTTGATTTATAAATCTGCCACTCAAGGTGAGAGAGCTACATTACTGCGAAACGAACTGTGTGCCTTCCACCATATTGAAATAATTTCATAACCAGCTAATTTTAAATGAAAATCAAACATCTTTTATTAAGCCATCTGTCGATAATAATATCTAGTTTTATTATGGAATCGAATGTGTTAATTTGACGTTTTAATAAGCCAGTAAAACCGGAGGTTTACAGCCTGTTTCGGCTGTCAGGGTTGACGTGTTAGTTACAGTGTTGAGGATTATGGGTTTCGTTTGGTGCGGTCATTTAGTCGAGTCCCGGGCTACACATAAATTAGTAGGTTTCGCATATAGGTGACACGCGAGCCGCATGGGGGTTTGTAATTATAAAAGTGCAACTATATGTTAAAAGCCAGAATAATTATTAAAACTACATTACAGATTTGCTGTAAGCTGTTTTTATTTTGAAGAAAAATGGAAATAATTAGAGATGTTACATACGTGTAAGTCATCGTGGAAAAGTCAGGGATTCCTAATGTTATGTTGTATTAACTTGTGTAAAATATTAAATAAAATAATACACCGTGTTTTACCAGACGGATGAGGTTTATCAATCTCTGTCTGACATCAGTTGAAATAGTAGTATATAGGCCTATGCGGGTTTAACATATATTTCCATAAAGATTTATAAAAAATAACCCTTTTCCCTTGAAAGGCTGCTGATTCATGGAAGGGCAGTTCCTTCTGAGTGTGGGCCGCCACTGCTGAGAAACGCTGAAACGGAACTTCCTTCGGTGAGCTGACTAACCTGGTACTTGGCTGGTTGCGGAGTGAGGTTAGGTTAGTTTGGAAATGCCGTGCACAATACGTATGCTGCTCTGCACTTGCGGTATTGCCCGCGTCTTATATCTTTGCGTCATAACGATGGGGGAGGGGATCGGAGACTGGGTTGTAGGGCCAGGTATCGGGGCCATAATGTTCAACGTCATCTTACCGCAACATTTGTGTTCCATATTTTGATATTCCATAAAACTTGGCATGTTGAATTATTGAAACATTACCCCTCTGTTTTTATGACTCTTTCCGTTTCATAACATAGACCAGCGACATAAAACCACATTCGTGTCGTGAATACAAAATTTATTTATTTGAATGTGATTTATTTAACGA